TTCAATCGGACTATAACCCGGATTCGAACTCGAGAGACTTTCGGGTTAGCAGTCTAACGCTCTACCGCTAGGCCACGTCTCATCATTATACCAGTATTAGGATTCAACGCTTGACGCAAAGAACCAGATACTTACAAACGTTCAATATGATTATAACCCGGATTCGAACTCGAGGCTTTCGGGTTAGCGCTCTAGCGCTAGGCCACCCGCCCATCATTATACCGGTACTGACGCAAAGAACAAACGTACCAGGCCAAATCACGCAGGGCGTAGATGTAGCTCTAAACGTACAGATGTAGTAAATTAAAGGACCAAAGTCCCCCGGGTCTGTCACGTAGCCCCAGGGCATGGCAACAAGACAACACTGTCGACATGTTGTCTCAACCAATGCCGAGAGCCCAGGAGGCAGCCATGCATGGAGCTGTACGACACGGCGTCAGTCCAGTCCAGTAACACGACACCACCAGTCATGTACCGTTACTTTTCTATACTAGCTTCCAGGACCGTTGGAGATTTGATGGCCGCTTGGAGAGATAAGAATGGGGCAGGCAAGGCGTGAAGAGATGAAAAAGTCGATGTTGTATAGGTAGATGTTCATGGTTGGTTTGTAAAGATGTTATATGATGGTGGTTCTGAGCATTTTGGAGGTACCGAACCCCACAAGTTCCATTTGCCCATCCGCCGAACCCTTATTAATACTTTTATCGTCCGCATTGACAAAATCCGATCGTGAATCAAATGAGTCGGGTGTGTGTCTTGACCGCCGCCGAACCCTATGAAACTTACTTACTGAACCCCTGGGGATCCATCGAACCCAGATTAAGAACCACTGGTATATGTTCGTCGAATGGGACAGTTGTTCGTATTCTGGGGTCAGTATTTATCTGATGTTAGTAGTTATTCGTACTCCGGTGTCAATATTTCTATTAGTATAGTTGTTCGTATACTGTGGTCAATATTCCCCTACTTGTGGTATAGATGTTCGTATTCTGGGTCATTAGTCCACTACTGATGGTATGGATGTTCGTATTCTGGGGCCAGTATTCTCCTGATGGCGTTAGTATAAACGACTGTCGTATTGATGATGGAGAAATATTCGTCTTTGATACTAGTGTTGGAAAATGGCGTTCTTGTTCTGGCGTTACAGTATATTATGTTCATAATCTGATGGCAGCAAATGTAGGCCTACCGATACTTGATATTTTAATACCCAAGCCCAATGCCACAAGAGGTACCGCTATCTCAGGGTTATTCCAATAACACGTGAGAGATGGGGGGTGTAGGGCAGGGGGGTGGGAGGGTGGCAGATGGTTGCGGTAACATCATACTTATAGAGCCATTAAAGTCACGGTTTGATGAACATGATAATCCAAATCCCCCCCCCCCCACCACCGACAGATGCAATTATTTACCGTTAACCGTTAGGATCCAGTTGGGTAGAGGCTCCTGTGGAGCGTGAACGACAACATATCTCATCCCATCTAGGACCGATCTGGTGACGCTAAGATTTATTTCTTCCATACACACACAGGCTAAACGGGTCCTCTAATCAAGATACCCACGGCGACTTTTAACAATGTTCTTGTAAGGTAGTGACCCAAACCACAGTTGTGTAACATTCTTCAACAAGTTCATCCACTGGGTAAGTACCGCGTTTAGTGTTCATCTCATTCGGTGATGCGTTTTAGTTGAAATAAGTACGTACCACTATAGTGTTAATCTCATCTGGTGATGTTTTTGTTGAAAAGAAGGAAGTACCAGTATAGTGCGAATCTCATTCTGTGATACGTTTTAGTTTAAATAACAAAGAAAAAAAAATCGATGCATCGGGTGTGTGTTTACACACAGCTGTTCAAGGTGCTAGTTTAAGGATCTTCTTTATTCTGTTTGATTATTGGTAAATATATTGACCTACCCGCAAAGTGTTTATGGCTCGATTGGAGGGAATTAAAGGACGGCTGTGACATGTTTATTATGGTTTCTTCTTCTATTGCCAATCTTGGTTTTGTGATGGCGTTAGATGGGGGAATATTGTTGAACTGTTAGAGAAGTGCATTATAAAAATAAAGGACCCACGGGGCAGGTGAAGTAGAGTTCATCTGTTTTATTGACCTCGATATAAAAATGGATAATGTGGCCATCACTACGCACAGCCACCTTTACTTTGCCTGGGTGGACTCAGGGACATAATACACACTCGAGCCCGGGATCCGAACTAAAGATTTTCGGGTTTGCAGTCAACACTACCATTCGACCTCATCAAAGAGCATTGTTAAGAAGTTACATTAGGGCGGTGTAATGCATTAAATTAATAACTGTTATGGGAGGGCTCAAGCCCAGGAACTGAACTAATGATGATAGTGTGATAAATTAGGGTGGAGGGGGCGGGGAGCGACGTGGTGGACAATAGACGTTGTATGAGTAAAAGCTGATGAGTCTTGCAGATGGTATCCATGGTGTGGTGGTGGTGGGGGGGGGGGAAGATCGGTAGGTTGGATGGTAGTGCACATGACAGATAACCTGAGAGTGCAGGGTTGGAGCATGTATGACATGATCAACCCAACACTGAGTGGAACCTAACATGTGTTAGGGAAAGTAAAGACCACACAATCCGTTCATATGCTGAGGTTACAGAAACAGGTGAGCACTACTTCACCTGCCATCCTCCACATCCGGTCTGAAATGGTAACTTTTCTTTCATATAAGACCATCCTGATGTTTTTTACAGATGGTACACAAGGATAGGTTAGATAGCAATAGTACAAATGGCAACTAAACATGCAGGCTGTTGCTGATGCAGATAATCAAGATTAAGACTTAGATCACCTTTCCATTATTTCCACAGGTCAAGGTCATTCTGATTCTCACCAGCTAACAAGATGCAAGTGACGATAAATTGACTTTTATTATCAACTTTTAAAAAACTTGATCATTTGTGAAAAAAAAAAAAAAAAACAACCAACCCAACATGTCATCCATTCAAAGAATAGCCCCGATCCACAACTCCAGCTGCCAGCTTATAACTAGCAACTACTACCCGACCACCGCGGCTTCATCCCCCACCGCAGCGCAGCCTGCTCCCATTACGGGACCACCCCCATCAAGCCATGGAACCAATCAGGCCTCTCTGATGAATCCTTCATCACAACCTAATGATGTCCAACCCAAACAGGTAGGACCAATCACATCGATACCTAATCACACTGATTGTGAAAGTAGAAAAAAAAATGGGAATTCCCCTTTCTTGCTCACTTCAACACAACTAGTAAGTCTGGAGAGAAATCTTCAGTTTTTAAAATATGCACTTATCCAATCAGAATAAAAGATATAACACCCAAGTAAAAGATAACAACTGTTGTGTACTTTAAACTTAAATAATAACTGTTTTCTTTGCAATAGTTTATCTTATTTCTTAAGGCTATTTAAAAAAAAAAAGCTATCAGGTTGAAAGGCTGAAGATTAAATTATCATCAATAAAATGTCTGTGTATATACAGAATTTAGAAAAAAAATGATAACAGGAAAAAAATAATTAAATCAATTAATAAGTAATGGAGAATGTAACTACACATTTAAAAGAGAATAAGAGATAAGTTAAATATATTTTGTTCAACTCTGTTACTGAGAATGGGCAACAAGTCTATCCTAAATGCTAAAAACATCAACTCCCAGTGCAGATGGGAGGATGGGGGGAAGGTGGTCTGACTTATGTGAAGATGTGTAAGGAGGGGAGGGGGAGTTTCAGAATGTGTGCTGTAACACATTAAGCAATAAAAAACTTTTTTTTTAAAATATATTTTTTTTTGCAGTAATTTTTTGAATTTTTCACTTGTAAATAGTACTACCACCACTTTCATCCTATTACCACCACTATATATATATTCTACCATCATATATATTTGCCCACCATATATATTCCACCAGACCCAACAGTTCCCCCCCCCCCCCTGGAAGAAAGCCTAATTTTCATCCTATTACCACCATCATATATATTCCACCACCATATATCCCACTATATATATTCCGCCAGACCCAACAGTTTACCCCCACTGGAAGAAAGCCTAACTTTCATCCTATTACCACCACCATATATATTCCACCGCCATATATCCCACTATATATATTCCGCCAGACCCAACAGTTTACCCCCACTGGAAGAAAGCCTAACTTCCAGCCATTAAGCTCCTCCACACCAGCCATGTTCAGCCCTGCTAGACAAGCTCACATGCGCCAGAGCATGCAGATGACCACTATCAACATAAATCCTGATTGCATGTGAGTACTCATTCATTGCTGTAGTTGCTAACTAGTGTTTTAGTACTATTTGCCTACTTAGGGCTAGCCAGTGTGGTACAATCGTTTTTACATATAGAGCAGTGCTGTATCCATTGAAGTGTAGTACTAGTGTGTAGGAACTACTTTTAACACTGCATATACCTGTAGTAGCTAGCCACCACTGCTTGTTTATTTTGTGTGCAGACCTTTCTAAAGTTACTGACTAATATATATATATTCTAAAATTATCTATTTTCCTCTCTCATTTTTTATCACTAACCAATTACAAACAATTATAGTAAGTACTTCGAAACCAATCTGATGCCTTAACGAAGGTTTTAAAATTAGGCGTCAAGAATACTCATCATGGAGGTTTAAATTTTATGGGAAGAAGAAATCCAACATTCTTGCTGGAAAAATAACATTTTGTACTTCCACAGAATGCTAAATGGGGGAACAGGCAAAGTGGAGAATAAGTTTATTCCCTCAATAAAATCTGAAGCAAACATTACCATACAGGGTTATATTTTAAGTTAGGATCAAGTTTAGGGTTTTTTTTTTATAGGAAGAGGGGGGTAGAGCAGTACCCCAATTAGGTTAGAGAAATTGACACAAGGTTAGTAGCCACGATAAAAAGCAGAAAAAAAACCAAAAAGACAGCTTGCAAGGGGGTAGAAGGAAAGTGTAGGCTATGAAAGACAAACTCTAATTTATCAAACAACTTACCGTAAGGCAAGAATCCCACACACACAATACCCTGGCATCTGGTGACCATTCCAACCCAGCAAGGTCGTCTGTTTCACTTTCAAAGTGCTGAGAAATAATATCATACGATAAAATAGCGTGGAACAAAATTCTGAGAAATAATATCATACGATAAAATAGCGTGGAACAAAATTCTGAGAAATAATATCATACGATAAAATAGCGTGGAACAAAATACTGAGAAATAATATCGTACGATAAAATAGCGTGGAACAAAATACTGAGAAATAATATCATACGATAAAATAGCGTGGAACAAAATTCTGAGAAATAATATCGTACGATAAAATAGCGTGGAACAAAATACTGAGAAATAATATCATACGATAAAATAGCGTGGAACAAAATTCTGAGAAATAATATCGTACGATAAAATAGCGTGGAACAAAATACTGAGAAATAATATCATACGATAAAATAGCGTGGAACAAAATTCTGAGAAATAATATCGTACGATAAAATAGCGTGGAACAAAATACTGAGAAATAATATCATACGATAAAATAGCGTGGAACAAAATTCTGAGAAATAATATCGTACGATAAAATAGCGTGGAACAAAATACTGAGAAATAATATCATACGATAAAATAGCGTGGAACAAAATTCTGAGAAATAATATCGTACGATAAAATAGCGTGGAACAAAATTCTGAGAAATAATATTTATACGGTAAATAGCATGTGAAAAATGCTGAGAAATATCTAATGGTAAATAGCACAAAGCAAAGTGCTGGGGAATAACTTCTTAGGGTAAACAGTATGGAACAAAGTCCTGAGATGTAATACAGTATGGTGAATAGCCAGGAACAAAGTGATAAGGAATTATATCTAAGGCAAATGGGACTGAGCCAAACTTACCCTAATAAGTGACCATGACTGGCATGAGAATATACTGATATGGTCTTTACAATCCCTGCGTTCAGCTAGGGCCATATATTTGCCACCTCTGCTGAAGTCTAGACCTGTTGATGTGTGGGTGATTTAAAAAAAAAATGTTATTATATTTATTACAGCCTTACTTTACTAAATATCTTTACTTTGAAGACATATTTGTAAATAAGTACCTTTACTTGTTATACTATTTTTATGCAAAACTGCATTAAAAAATTAAACAATATTATATAAATAAGAAACAAACAATACTGACCTTTAGAACATTGTTTGGGATAGCGGATGTATGACACTGATTTTGTAACCAAAGACCAGACTGTTACCCGTAACTTTGAAACGAGACAGATTACTTTTGTAAAGTTTGTGAATTCATTGAAATTTTTATTTGAAAGTAAATAAATATGATAAAAATAAAAACTAACCTAGCAAATTGGATATCACTTACATGAAAATCTGCAGTGGTTAAAATATGCCGACTGTCTGGACCCCACACGACAGAACAAAGGCCAGCTGAGCCTTCATCTATTTTACAATGCCAATCTGGTACCTCAAGTGACCAAACCTAAAGATATAAAGACGGCGTTAGTATAAAAGACTTGTTTTCAGTTGGCCTATTTAAATTTAACTATTATATTAATATAAAAAATAAAGAAGTATGGGGGGGGGGGGGGGGGGGGGTAAATAAAACTTTGTTCATACCTGAACCATTCCTCTTTTAAACATTCCACAGAGTATAAACTGTGAATCTCCTGACCACTGAAACATAAATATATTTACGATTGAAAAAGAAACAACAACAAATGAAAATAAATCTTTCTATATATGAAGAGGGCAATATGCTTTAGTAATAAGATTATTTTTGCCAGTACCATGTATTCTAAAGAAAGTAGTTTTATAGTATTTCAAAAACTTGAAAAACATGTAATGCAGTCCCATACATTTCAGTAATATTCACATTGGATAAAAGGGCAGTGAAAATAAACAGGTGTAATATTCAACAGGTCCAAAACAATGAAAATAAGTTTTAATGTCAAATAAAACAATAACTTACCTGTATTGATTGTATTTCATCAAGGCAGGAAAACAGGTGCTGAATTTGAAGAGTTTCAACATCTCTTATTACAAGCCTATAATCCACAGCACTAGCCTTATAATAATAATGAAAAGAAAAAAAAAGAGTCTAGATTTAGGTGGTAGCTATGACCAAATAATAGATTAATAGAAACCAATTAAGAGGCAGAGGCTATTCCAAGTCAGCTATCATTTCATGCAATATTATTGGGAATCATTTCTAACAATACTATTTTACACAACTGCAGAAGGAGGTAGGCCTAGATACTCATGTTGGTAGAAGTTACTAGAAGTAGAACAGAGCTAAACTAGTGTAAATAATACTACAATTTATTACTCGATGGAAGCAGTGAAGTAAACGGGTTGGTGCAATCATTATTTTCAAATTTGCCCTTTTTTTGTGATAAAACTAAGAAAAAATTGTTATGGGCTTATAAAAATTTTTGTTTAGTAACAAAAATACTAAAAACACCAAATAGGCCTACACATCCAATCTTTTGTAAAGCACAACAAAATGATCACAATAAAGTTTTTATAACCACATTTATTTTTATAACATTGCTAGTAATGTGCCACTAAGTTGTCTCATTGTTAAGGCTTTAATAGAAGTATATTGTGATTTATTTGTCTCAAATATTAGGCCTATAGATAATTGAATAATAAACCAAAATCAATGGCTAAATATATCAATATAGGCCAGAAATTAACTTTAAACAGCAGTGTTTGCAAGCAATATTTGCTATATAAACAGCAGCCATTTGTAAATTAGAGTGGCTTCCCCTGAATCTGTCGCTATAAGTTTACAAAAAAAACTTAAACAAGATGGCTGCTGAAGTAAACGAGCTATGTTGCATTTTAACTTGCTAGTCTTTGTTTATTACTGAAAAGTTTAATACAATTGTTTCAAAACAGGTAGATCTACATGAATGAAACATTTTTGAAAGTTTCAAAACACAAATCTTTCTCAAAATGTGAAATAATTATTAAAATTTAATGAGGCACCTTCTTTTCACATTACTAGCCTCGGCAGATTTTACGTATCTAAAAAAAGCAATAGATTAGGCCTACCTAACTAACTAAAATATAGAATCTACATAATTATTAAAATATTCTAGAATCTAGACCTAGAGATTCTAGAATCTAGGCTATTTTATTCCGAATTTAATATAATTAAATATAGGCCCCCTAAGGCTAAGCCTAATTTAAAACTAATTTTTTTTTTTAAATTTTAAGTTTTCGCTTCCTAGTTACCAAAAATTTTCCATCCGGAGAAAAAATACAAAGCTGTCCCGACTGTCTAAATAGCTCCGAAAAATTCATGTTGGCATCAAATGAATAGTTTTAAAAATTTAATTTAAGAAAACGATTTAAAATGTTGGTTTTGATGAAGTTGAATCCAAAATTTGTCAAGTGTTGACATGCGATGGTAGCCATTTTGTAAACAATAGATACGAAGTGAATTCTGTCATGCTAGGAGAGAAAAAGTATTTTAGCGTAGATATATAGGCATAGGAACATCTATCGAATAAATTTAGATTTAAAAATAAAAATACAATTAGTTCTAATACTATTTTATTATTTTAATAGTAATGTACAAATTGTGATTTCTGCTGACATGTTCCCGCTTAAAGCTGATGGCTCTTGACGTATCCTGCCGAATAAAAATATAGTTTTATATTTTACGTAAAATACATTTAATTTTTCTGAAAGCAAAGTAACTCATGTTTAATGTATTTATAACATTTTAGTTTATTATTAATACATGTTCTGAAAAAAAGAATTTCAGCGAAAATGATATAGATCGATGTTTTTTTATTAACACGTGGTAAGCCTGGTTTACATTTCACGATTGTGGGGTAGGCCCTAAGCCTTGGCCTATCGCGCGTAGTAAATATTCTTCCGATTATTGCACCGCTTCCGTTGCAGACTAGGTTAGCAGTAAAGCACAGAAATTTCATTGTTTTGATTATGCAGGGTCAGTTAGGGGCGAGGGCGTCAGAGACTTGAGTTTGTGGACAACACCAGGCATGAACATTGTTTAAGTTTAACACACATCCTGTTATTTTCTTTTTCACGATTTCGAAAGGATTTACAGTTTTATTTCTTATGCACTTTGAATATTATTTGGAATCTTTTGAGTTTACTTTTCAATATCATTCATTCAACTTAAAAGTTTTTAATCTCATGAAATTTCTCTCTGAGACCTAAGATAAGCCGGACTAAAAAAAAAATTCAATCCATACAATTGACTAGCGGGTCACTAGCGGTAGTCATATTGCATTCATAAGGCATAATAAATGGCATTAATATTCTCAATCCTGTACGTGTAGAATGTAGATAGATCTAGATTTCTAGATCTAGTCTAGATCTAGAATACATCTAGAATCTAATCTAGATTCTAGATCTAGTAGATAGATCTAGAAGATCTAGACTCTAGATCTCTAGCTAGAGTCTATACTAGAATATCAAGAATAGGCCCCTTATTTTTTAGCGCAATTTCCATTCTGGAGAATTGCGTTTATTAACGCGTCATTTCTGGGAATGGATGGATGAATGTATGGATGAATGTGTGTCCGGGCTTTAAGTCGTATCTCCTCCTCAACGAAGCAATATCGATGACTAGTTCCAAAAGCAATTATGTTAAGCAAGTTACGAGAATGAGCATAGGCCATAAAAATTCCGGGTTTCTTTCATGTATTTCCCGGAAAAGCCAAAAAACCTCGAAAAAATGCAGTTTTTGGCCCATATCTCGGCAACCAGACCACTTAGCGACTTGAAACATGTACCAATCGATTCCTGTCATAATTTAGAACAATATTGCCGAAGAAAGTTTTCAAAAATATTCTCTCGTTCGGTCACAAATTTTAAAATTACATAAACACCTACAAACCGATTGTTCTTCTAGCTTGAACGCACCCCAACATTATACGTCAGAGCTATTTTTAGATAACATAAGGAAATTGCGCATAAATGTCACTAGACTTTTTAATTAACTTGTTTTAATCTAGATCTAGATCTAGTACTTAATACTTATGAAATGAGTCTAAACTAATGTGTGCATCAATCAGGCATCAGTAATATAATTTTATTATCACTGTGTTCCAATAACTAATTTTACAAAACCATCATATGATCATTAAAATATTTTCTGACAAATACAATGAATGAATATTTACTACAAATCTGTGTGACTTTAGCCAGTGCCTTTCAGACACCTTTACTTTAATTCAGCAATCAGCTTTACTCTTCTTTAGGAAGGGTTCTCTTAGTTTTGCAGGTGCTAGAATAGATTCTAGTCTAGATCTAGAAATCATGCATTTAGAACTCCCATTAATGATTAAGTTCTGTTATACCACAAGAATCAATATTATTGACCATTTTCTTTTAGAACACTTCTTTGAATCTGAATGCAAATGTAAAATACAAGAACATATTTCTAGCTAAATTCAAGGTGAAGCCACACATTTCTGAATGTGTGTCTCAAGGCAACAGCAGAAGTCATACTTTTGTGCAGTAAACCTAAATATTCAATTACAATTTTAGGCCTAATGAATTATGTTTTCGTTTTGATATGAAACTCATATTTTAATTGATTTTTTCTTTAAGCACAGTGATATTGATGCACAGTTTATTTTTTGCAGAGTAAAATATATATATATCTACCTACCTGTTATAAATGTGAAAAAAAAATCTTATTTTACCTATTTATTAAGAAAGGGGTTGGGTGAATGGAATTATGAAGCTGGTGGGGTTTGTACCAAAAAAAGGTTAAGATCCACTGCACTAGATTCTAAATCTAAGATTCTACATTAGCATGGTGGATCTATATGTTATACCAGTGACTGATAATGGCACAGAAAGGAATCATTGAAACAAGAGACTTGTAGTTCTAATCCAAATTTTAACAATTAGGCCTACACAAAACCTTAGATTATTATACTTCTAACATGATAACATAACACTTTTATATTTGGAAAAGTCTATTGTAGAACATGAGTTAGTGAGTAATACCAATGCTCAACTAAGATAGATTAGATCTAGTAGTTAAAGTTGCTGAATGACTGAAGTAGTTTAAAGTAATTGTCTAAGTATTAAATAGGTTAATCTAGGTATAGTGTAAAATTATAGTGCTCAGGCAACTCTCCAGTATTATATAGTATGCCTAGTGTATTAGTAGTCACTAGTTATGCCTACTCTTTGAGGCAGATTACATATAACCTAATTAGTAATTTATGAAGCCTATTAATTAAATATCCATACAAATTTGACTTATTCTTAACTATTTAAAAAAAATTAACAAGAGCCTATAGCCTAATAGTTTGTAATATGCTTAAAAGGTTCCCTTTTGGACCTGGAGTCCTACAGGGCAGGTCAAATAGAGTGCCCCTGTTTCTGTGATTTGGCACATGAAGGTGTGTTGTGCATAGTATGCCAAGCCATCTTTTCATTCCCTGACATAAGAGTTGGATGGACTCAGGGACCTGAACTTGAGACTTTCCTGTTAGCAGACAAATGCCCCACTTTTGGGCCAGGCCTTCCCATGTATTGGACTTAAATAACCAATTTGTTTCATAGTCTTGTGTTGCATTCTTCAATAGTAGATCTACCAGTAATTCATTGATGACATGTTTATATTTTTGTTGTGTTTTTATTTATATTTAATATTTTTACATTCTTGTCCCTTAGGTATGGAAAGGTAAATGTTCCAATGTCTCAAATTTCAAGTTCATCAACCCAATCACTTTTACCCATGTCTCAGAATTCATTCAATGATTTGTGGCATTGCTTGCAAAGTTTTGGAGCTGATCCAGAGTAAGTGCTATGTACTGATATGTCAAAAGACACATGCTTAAAGGATAGAAATTAAGTATATTGGAAGAGCTTTTTTTGTGACATGTCCTGTCAGTTTTTACTATGTTGCATTAAATTTGTCATGGCCATTGTCTAAAATTTGGTTATATTTTGTGTTTGTTGTTGCAAAATTTTACAGTAGTCAGCTATTAACATTGATGTGTTTTGCTGTTATTGGTATTTTAAAGTAATTGTTTTTTAACTTTTGTCCTTGTTTCTAGCGACTTTACCAGCTTAGACGACAAAGTTGATTTTGAATATCTTGGTGAAGATGGAGAAGAGAAAACCACATTGGAGGTGGAGAGGATTCAAATTCGACCAGCAGGTCACACAGATTTTGTGAGTAAACATACTGTTTTTAATATACTGAATTTTTTAAATTTGCTAAAAGTAAATATCCTTTTAAAGAGGGTTTTATAAGTCCCAGGTAATAATTTGACACCCCTTTAACTGTATGATACGGAACACATCTAGGCTTTGTGACAGCTGGTGTGCTTTTGTTTTTACTTGCCAACTTCTGTTGACAGTCTTGGAGTATGTAAATGCTGTTATTTAGTGCACAAGCATGTAAGTGCATATTATCATGATTATAGTAGTATACTGCAGTTTTTGTAAGTTGTGTTTTCCAAAATAATTATTTTAAGTGTTTAAAGGTTTATGCATAAATTAAAAAGTTTGGAAACCAAATGTTGGATTTTCAGCATTTTTTAAATCAGATTTCATGTTTTAAGGTCAATTTTAATTGCTAGATATGTAGATCTAGTTTAGATTTTTATTCTGATTGCCAATTATTTCAAACTTTGACATGTTCTGGCTTTTCATTCACTAAAGGGGAGTAATCGGTTTTTGAGACTGCCCTTTTAAGAAAATTCAGGTTAACTCCCTTGACATGTATATTTTTTTGCACAAACAACATTGTGCAAAACTCCCTAGGTTTATAATAGGGCCTACTTTAATTTAATTAAAAAAAATAATTTTATGCTCTAAATGATTTTTATTTGTCTTTCAAACTTAATTCAAGATGTTAACTTGAGTAAGTTGGGCATACTTTTCCTGTTGTCTTTCAGTTCTTGTATATAGTTGTTTTGGTACAGATTATGCATGATTTTTTTAGGGTGGTTTAGTTCTAAAAAAAATTCTATATCTGTTGTGTTTTTTATAAAAGTTTGATTGGCTAGTTTATATTGAACCAAATGTGTATGTGCAAATGATGATTATTGAGTGGATATAAATCAGAAAATCTTTAAAAACAAATTAAACCGTGGCAACAAACATTACTGCATCAAATCCTTCCATAATTAAATAAATTGAAGAGAAAAACTGTTAGCATCAGGTGATAAAACAGCTTAGCCTACATAATTGGTTATTTTTTCTATTAATTTTATTTAGGGGGGATTTCCCTCAACATAATTACACATAATTAGCAAGATTCATCTGCTTAGTGGTTTGAACTTGAGATTGTTTTAAATTTAGGGCCTATCCATTATATATTCAGCTGATCTATAACACATTTTTGTCCCATATAAATTCAAATGCCATAAGCTATTAAACATAATCTTATTGTGGATCTCAACAGTTCTTCTATGTTTAAATTGGGCCAAATAAATTCATTTTATAGATGTATCTGTTTTAATTAATGGCCACTTTGTTGCAGAGTTTTACTTCTGGTACCTAAAGCTAGCATTTCTAACCTGCTTATGGATTTTTAAAAATGTCTATAGATGAATCTTTTTTGTTGAGACATGAAAAATGTGGCAGAAAATGGGTTGTCTGTATCTATGCAAATTTTATTTATGTTTATGTGGATCTGACCAGAATAAGGAAAAAAATGTATCATGCTGTGGAAGATATGGACTTTTATCTATTATCCCAAAGCTTCATCATCAAGCTTATGTAAAAATAATAACTGGTAGTGCACCTGTTATCTATATTAAAGGTTCAAAAGTACATTTTCACCTTCTGTTCAAATTGTGTATCTGAGGAATTTCAAAACTTTACATCTAATACCCAGCTTTTTAGTTGGCTACTTTTAAAATAATTTGAATAATGTAAAGTAAGCTTGTTTTTTGTTGTTTTTTTTTAACTTAAAATACAAATATGAACTAATATTTGGAAATTAAAATCTTTAAATATATATACTAAAATGTATATTCTAGCTCAAACTCAATGGTAAAATGACTAGTGTAATCTTAGAAGGTCACTTTTTAAAATCACATTTTTAATTTTAAACATTATGAAATAGTCTCTTAAACTGCATTTAAAATATTCTATCAATATTTTATGGGAATATATTTTTAAAGTCACCGAGGATGATCTGGACTAATTAATTTCATTTACATAAAATTAAGCTTTGATATTTAACAGATTATTTACAGTTTTGTTGACAATAATTCACATATTATGAGGTTTACTAATGTAGTTTAAAAATATGAAATTACATGTTCCCTGGCATGGTTTTTGATCATTTGTTTCTTTTTAAACTGTTTACTTCTACTACCATTACCACTGTTTATATCACCAATTATCCTATTGACATTGATAAAACTGAAGTGGTAATGATACTACATTTATTATCTATCTTTACTTGTGAAGGCTATTAACTAATACATTTTCTCTTCTTGAACTGATTGCTGTATCTTAAAAGTGCTGAGATTAGAGATAAACCACCTATTGACATTTCTTTATTTGTTATAAGAAGAGTTGTGGTTAGTGGTTTTTTTTTAACGGCATGAGAAAAGGAGGGGTATACATAGGGATCATTCATTCAGGTTTCCACAAAAGAATAAGAGCAATTAGCAGCATATTTTAACCAGCAAAGTATTAAACTAATCCTAAGGACTTTTCCATTTTCAACCAAAAAATCATACAAAGTATTGAACACTTATTTGTCTTTTGAATTAAGTGTTAAAAGTATTATTCTCTTTCTTAATATCAATAATATTAATATGGCATAAGGTCTCCTGAGGATTAAGACTTTGTTTACTCCAGCGATAGTAGATGTAGGCCTGCTAATTGTAGTAAAGTTCTACCATAAATGACATCACCGTGGGTTGGGGGGAGGTTTTCTAAAAGAGTGACAACATACTTTTGTAATATAATAACTGAATTTTAGCCATTATTTCACTTAGTTAAAAGGTTGGTTTTTTTGTAAATTGCAAAAAAATAATTATTAAAATATACTCAATGTTTACTAAGCTCAGTAAATATTTCAGGAAAAAAATCACTGGTTAAATTTTTTCGCTATTTTGAGAGGGATCTTACACTAAAATGTGATGTCATTTTAGTTGTTATGCTCTCCTTATAGTGACGTGTATTATTAGGGAGGACGGCATGGCTAAAGCAGTAAAGCTCTAGGCTGCTTGCTGAATTTGAATCTCTAATTCAAGTTAAGGAAAGTAAAGGCGGTTGGACAACATGCTGATCACACCTTCCCTTAATATGCCTAGGTCAAGAAACACACGAACTCTACTTTATCTGTTCAATGGATCACTAGGTCTAACAAGGATTCTTTTCTTTTTCTAACTGGGGGGGGGGGGGGGGGTGTAACAATTTGTTTTTTTAAATTGGGTAGTCAATACATAATTTGAATGACCCCAGTATAGTTATGTGATTTTCATGTTGAGCTTGGTTTATTTTGAAAAGCAAGAGCTGTCTTAATTTTGTTTTACTTTTTCTATGGTGGATAAGAGTTATGTTGGTTTTAAAATGTAAATACTTGTGTTAAATTATTCATGTGGAGGTCTGCATCAAGCTGAAGCTCCCCCCACCATAATCAACATGCATCCCCAAAACGTCATTTTTAAAAAAAAATTTACCCTCCTGTCTGGATGTCATAAATGGATGACCCCCATATTATTAGTTGAGACCTTAAGGAAATAATCCTTTGAGATAATAAAATCTTCATCACAATATGTGGGTTAAGTCCATACATATCTAGAGGTAGATAAAGTAATTTAGTTTTAAAAGGTGGTTTGTATTAGTTTCTGAAACATAGGGGTACTTGATGTGACAGTCCAATTAATGGAAAAGTTAATGTTACTTGTCTGTCTGCAATACAGAAGGTCATAAGGGTAGAGCATTATGTTTTCTTTGTCTGTGTTCCTTTTTTTCCCACTAGGCAACGTATTTTAGTTACACTTGTAGCTCCTCTACTCACCAGCTATTTCAGCATCCCTACATATTTTGTACTTATCCTAAACAAGTTATTTTTTAATGTTCCCATGATTTATCGATACCACGTTAATTTTGCTTTAGTAACATAATTTATTCCCCCTGTTATTTCTGGTGTTGTTTTTTTTCTTCATATACCAGTCTAATAAGCATCATACACCAGTGTAATGTATGTTATACTTATTACTATCTTTAATCTTTATTTACAAAAGCTCTGGGCTTATTAGTTGATGCATGTCACGGTGTGGTTATTCTAGACCACGGGTTCCCAACCTGGGGGTCGCGACCCCCCTGGGGGTCGCGAAGGTTTTTCTGGGGGGTCGCCAACTGGTATTCTAACTAAACCTTAGTAACAAAACATAAATATTTAGAAGAATTTTTGACATTCGGCTTCATTAACATCACTGGAAATGTAATAGAGAAGAAACAAAGCGCACTGTGCAAAGTTGTTCTCAGTCACGAATCTATGAAATCTTCAAAACTAAAACGTCATTTGAGACGAGTCATTCGGAACACAGCAAAAAATATATGGAGTTCTTTCGTCGGTAAGAAGCTTGTTGCAAACGACAGAGACTTGATCGAACAGGAAGTTTTCACAAGCATTAGTGCAAGCATCAAATGAAGTCGCGATAGAAAATGCCAAGCAAAAAAACAGAAAAAAAACCAATAGGAGAAAATCTCATCAAACGCTGTATGTACGTAAATGTTAAATAACACATTTTTATTGAAATTAAGCTTTCACCATTGTTTGCTTTTCAAGTTGATAAATCAGCAGACGTGAGTTCGTGTTCGCAGTTGCTTGTCTCTGTCTATATTCATGCGGATGATAGCTAAGAAGAGTTGCTCTTTTGTGAAGATAACATGGAGAAAATAAATACCTTTTTTGAAACTGGATGATTAAAATGTGTTAGAACGGCTGTGGGGGTTTGTACGGATGGTGCGCCATCTATGTTTAGCTCAAAATCGGGCTTTCAGAAAACAGAAAAGATTTAGCTCCCTAACCACTGCCTTAACCAATCGACATCAAGAGTCCATTGCTAGTATAAGTCGTAAATTATATAAAATCTGGAGCCTTCAAAGAACTGAGAAAAAAACATTAATATAGATCACGAGGTTCTCCTCTTCTACACTACAGTACGCTGGCTGTCAAACGAAATGTTGTTAATTGT